TAATTAGTTTACAAAAATTTGATAATAAATATCGTATTTTCGTGAAATAACGCACATGCGCAGTATGTATGATCGAGATTTTATTTACCTTACAGTACCATTAAATAGTACGGGGTCCTGAGGTATGATAGTAATATTACTTCTAAGATCCCTTAATCCAATAGTAGTGATATCAATATCGTCAATTACAATACTTCCAGAAGTTGGTTCAACAAATCTAAAGAATGAAGTTGCCAACGTTGATTTTCCACATCCTATTATTAAGAGTAAAAAGTTAACATTTGAATTAAATAATTCTCAAATTGAAATTAAAAAATTTACCAGTTCGACCAACAATTCCAATTTTTTCGGCAGCCATAATATCAGCCGAGACACCTTTCAAAACTAAAGGACTGTCATGCCTATATTTAATTTCCAAATTTTTAATATGAATGTCTCCACGAGATGGCCATTCAGGTGGTGGTCTGTGGTCCGGTATTATATTATCGGCTTCTATTTCTAACTTATCGCTGTAGTGAACTAAGCGCTCCACTGAGTTCATGTTTGCTTCCTATTATTATACCATGAGAAATTAGTCTTTTAAATACATTATTAAAAAATTATTATTATTATTATTTCTTACCACTTCAGCAATTTGTCTAACACACCAATTAAAAGTTCCAGTAACTTGAAGTGCATAAGATAATACCAATCCAGTGATTGAAGGTAAAACACCAAATCTAAAAATAACTGCAAACAAGCTTGCGAAAAATACCAAGACATTTGCGATGCCTTCAAGACGGAGTGAAAGCCATCGTTGGACACAGAATATAAGAAAGTATGCTCTATTTTCGATATCTAAGAACTTTTCGTTGTTCCTGTTTTGTTTAGAAAAAAAAAAGATTATTCACTATTATGTTAACAAAAAAATTACATCAAAAATCGTGAAGCATCAAATTAAAATTTAAATTTTAAGGACCTCAAAAATCTTTCTTGTTCACGATAAGCGCGAATAGTCGGCAGTCCTGTAAGTGTCTCGGAAAAATGAGCGTATAACGATGATCTCAATACTGAATCAAGACCTGCAATAAAGAAAAAGTAATTGCATAAATTTTTTAAAGAATATACATATAATGTCTTATTAAACAATGGAAAGATAATGATAGTTACGTTTTAATTCACGATTGGTCGCTCGATAATAAAGGGCGGCAAAATAATAAAGTATGAGCAAAGGAACCAATGGAATAACGAACCAAACGAACACCACCACGATCAAAATAAAGGTTCCGATGACGGCTGAAAAGGTCATAAAAAACATTCGATATGATTCAGAAAGTAAACTATCACATGTGTCGACATCTTTACTGAATCTAATTATTAAATGAATTTGGATTAGAAAAATATTTAAAAAAAGATGGTTAAAGATAAGTTAAATAATATGACAACTACCGATTAATAATTCTTCCTAAAGGAGTGGTATCAAAGAAACTTGTTGGAGCTCTTAATACACGTTTAATGGCATTATTATGTAAGTGCTTAGCCGCTCTAACACCGCTGTAGGAGAATGCGATACCACACAAAACACCAAAGATGCCTTGGGCGACTCCCCATGCGCAATAAATACCTATCTATAAATGCAAATTCGCGTTTAAAGATGTAATCAATTAATTACATTTGGTTTTACTGTAATGAGATTTCATGAATTTTAAAAATATTTACATAAAATCCCATTGAAAGATTAAATGTGTTGCTGGACCAAAATGAAAGCCATAAATTGTTTCTAAAATAAAAGAAATTCAGAGTTATAAATTAGCTATAGATTGTATAGGCAACTCAAATTTTTATTAATATTAATATATGATGAAAACATACCCAATATTTGTTCCTTGCATCATAACAAGCAAGAAAAACAGGATAGGTAACAACAACAATCCTCCGGCATTCCTAAGATATGCAGAGTATATCTTATTATCCACTGCACCTGAGTACTGTTCTTCTGTTGACATTAACCCTTTAGATAAAACAGCTTGATCTTTTTTTAGTTGTTCTTTTTCGTCTGGTGTTGATTCATCATCATCTTTCTTTTTATCATCATCATCATCATCATCACTTTCACTTTCTGCTTCACCATATTCAGCAATTAACTTTGCAAAGGCTTTACCATCTTTCATTAATTCTTCATAAGTTCCCTGTTCAGCAATTTCACCATCTTCCATACATATTATGTAATCGACATGTGGTAGATAATGTAAATGATGCGTGACAAGGACACGCGTCTTTTTGGCAAGTGCGCCTTGAATACAATTTGTGAATAAATATTTACCAACATGTGCATCAACGGCTGATAATGGATCATCTAATAACACAATATCAGCATCGTAATACACGGCTCTTGCGATGTTAACACGTTGTTTTTGTCTAAAAAATCATAAAGGAAATTTTTTTTTAAAAACCATGATTTTTATTAATACATAATTAATAAAAACTATAGCATACCCTCCAGATAAATTAATTCCCTTCTCTCCAATTTCTGTCATGTCACCAGCAGGTAACATTTCTAAATCCGGTTCTAGACAACAATCTTTAATAACTTTTTGATACTTTTCTTCATCAAAAGGTAAACCAAAAGTAATATTGTTCCTAAGTGTAGCATTTTGAATCCACGCAGTTTGAGGACAGTACCCAACGTTTCCACCAAATAAGACATCACCTTTAACTTTTTTCATTTCACCCACCAAAGCAGATAATAGAGAAGATTTACCGGTTCCTACGGAACCAACAACAGCAATCAACTTTCCATGAGGTATTGAAACATTAATATTACGAAGATGAGATTTTGGAGAAAGTGGGAGAGAATTTTCAAGATTTCCAGCCAAATCCGCAGGAGTCAAAGATGTAGAGGTATCTGAAGTATCATCATTTGGAACTGGAGATTTTTCATTAGAAACAACTTTTGAAGAATTATTATTTTCATTCTTATTATCTTTTTTATGTTTTTTTGATTTTTTTTCTTTTTTCGACTTTTTTTTTGATTTATTAGCAATTTCTTCAGGTGGAGCACTTTCCCAAATAAATTCACCATCAGTAACTTTGATAGCATTTTTTTCATTTGGATCTATATCTGGTAAAACTGATAATTCATCAGCTTGCAAAAATTCACTTATACGATTAAGTGATACATAAGCATCAGTAATGGAAGCTATCACCATTGGTATGAACATTAAAGGTAATCGAAGAATGTTAAATAATGCCAAAGAAGAGAATATGATTCCGGGTTCAAGACTGCCTCCTGTTAATGAGAACGTTATAAATGCCAAGATACTAGCGAATACAGGAACAACCTAAAAAATAATCGAGAACGATATAAACAATAATAAGTAACGATATATAAACAAATATATAAAAAATATAAAAAAGTATAAAAAAAAAAAAAAGAGTATAAAAAACAAGTATAAAAAACAAGTATAAAATGAGAAATTACCATTGAAACACCAGTAATAGTAGCTCTAATAACTAACAAAAACCTAACCAAACTAACTTCTCTATTTCTTAATTTATTAAGAGCATCGGCAAAACTTTCTTCCCAAGCGTAATATTTAATAACTCTAATACCTAATAACATCTCTTGAGTCAACTTTACTCGTTCGTCTGTAACACCAGCAGCTTTAGCTCTGGTACGTGCCAACAAAGACATAACCTTTCCTTGCATAGGACTTACAACTACCAATAAAGCAAAACCAGCTAACGCGGATGGACCAATATTTACTATTAGCAAACCTAATGCTACGAGGACTTGAATAGGAGCAGCCCAAACTATATGAAAATAACCGCATACAAAGTCTATGCGCGTAGTATCGGTGGACATTAAATTAGTGATTTTGCCATTAGTAAATAAGCTTCTAGCTTTACCACTTATTACTAAAGCTTTCCGATAAATGGCAGTTATAAGAATAGTACGAGAGAGAAAACCAGTCTCCATTGCGTAATAAAAATATAAGTTTTGCAAAATGGTAGCGCCCATTTGCATTAAGAACATGCCGACAGCTAATACATATCCAATATGTACAGGTGGATTTAAACCAAAATATGCTTCAGAGACGAAATTCAATAATAACTATCGAAAATATGAAAAGATGAAAATATTAAAGGATTAATTTTTTTTCGACGCGCGTAATCCTAATCACGTGGCAAAATGCACAAGTGTACGTGAGACATACATACTTTTAAAACCAAAGGAGAAGTAACTAGTAACATATCACTAACAAATCTACAAATCCCTGCCACGGAAAACCTTAGCCACAAAACTCTGTGTAAAGCTTTAAACAATGATGGTTTCTTTCCCTGCTCTTTTTTTTTTTGAAGTTCTTTCTTCCATTCGACTTCAAAGCTGTCAGTAACAATTTTAGCAGATCTCTCATCATTCAACACATATAGATCATCTTTTTCTAATGGACGTTTATAACCTAAACTCATTATATTATTGGTCCACCAAAAAGTGATTACAGAAAATATATTGGCCTTCGCCTCGGGGATTTCAACATTTGAATTTGGAGGCGGAGGAGATTTTGAGTTTCCAAATACCATTATTGTAGATATTGAGATATAGATATCTTAGATATTGTATATATTGTATATATATTGTATATATTTTAGATATTGTAGAAATTCAAGCAACTTTTTTTAATAAGCGTTATCAAGAACAAGACATATAATAAATTATTTTTTATATATTATAGATATGTTTAAATTTTTGAATCTTAAAAATAGCATACATAGAAAGAAAAAATGGATCATAAATCTATAAACACGTCAAGATAACGCTAAGAAAAAAAAAAAAAAAAGATGGATCACAACTTTATATATTTTTTTTAAAGCTTGAAAACCAATCATTAATTGTTTCTGAAAAAGTTTAAAGTTAGACTTCCCACCATTCTTTTTCGGTATTGTGTGTTGCAATTACGTACGTACGTAGTACTGTTAACTTGCGAAGTGATATACTATTTGAATGCGGAAGATGGTCAATTTGCACTATAACTTGTATTAAAATTATTGTAAAAGCAGATTAGTAAGGCGAGAAATGTTCCAATTCTTTCTTTTGCTGTCATACACAAATAATTATTTGTAGTGAATACTTCATTTGTTAAACGATATGAAATGAGAGCACATGGTGGAATTCGGAAGAGATTTAGCCATCATTTCACCGTAAATATAAAATATATTTGGAATATTTAACAATATTAGGTGAAATATTGTTGTACCAAATATTTACGTAAGTTCAACTCCATTCTATTAATATATATAGCATTAGAATGAATTAACAATATATGTATTGCATATAATGAACTAATAAATTTAATGACTAATATTTTTTTTTTTTACGTACAAAGCAAAAGCTCAAATAAAAAGCTAATACGATTCGGCTCAAAAAATATCCGATTGATTAACTGTTTTCTTTTTAAGACAAATTGCATATACTTGATAACGATAAAAGATGAATAATTTTTAATATAAACTGCGCATGATGTATTTTATTTTGCATACAGTATAATTTTTTTAGACAATTACTATTTGTACTCGATTCGCAATCCGACTAATTCGGATAGATCCGATAATTTGGATTGAATTCGGATATCCGTATCCGTTAATTTGACCGGATAGATCCGTAATACATATCGGATTAAAAGGATTATCCGGAATAT